TTGCTTTTTCTATTTCTATGATCAATGTTATTGGAATTTTAATAGAAATTCCATTAAATCTGTATAATGCTTTTCATAGTATAACCATTTTGACACTGTTAATTCTGCCTATCCAAGAGCATGGGAGATCTTTCCATCTTCTAAGGTCTTCTTCAGTTTCTTTCTTTAGTATTCTATAATTTTTATTGTAGAGGTCTTTTACCTCTTTTATTAGATTTATTTCCCATTTTTTAAGACTATTGTGAATAGGGTAGTTTTCCTATTTTCTATTTTGGTGGATTCATCACTGATGTATAGAAACACATTGGATTTATGAGTGTTAATTTTATATGCTGCTACTTTGCTGAACTCGTTTATTAGTTCTGGAAGTTTTTTGGTGGATTTTTTTAATCTTCTCAATTTAGAATCTTGTCATTGGCAAATAGTGATAGTTTGAGTCTTTCTTTTCCTACTCCTATCCCTTTAATTTCTTTCTTCTCTCTAGTTGCTCTGGCTAAATTTTCAAGGACAATGTTGAAAAAAGTGATGAAAGAGGGCATCCTTGTCTTATTCCAGTTCTTGGAGGGAATATTTTCCATTTTTCTCCATTTAGAATGATACTGGCCTTGGGTTTAGCATATATATCTTTTAATATGTGGAGGTATGTTTATACTATCCCTAGTTTTTCTATTGTTTTGAACATGAAGTGGTGCCGTATTTTATCAGATGATTTTTATGCACCTATTGAGATGATCATATGATTCTTGTCTTTAAGTCTATTGATGTGATGAATTACGTTTATTGATTTCTGTATGTTGAACCAAACTTGCATCCCTAGGGTGAACACCATTTGACTGTGGTGAGGTTTTAAATATGTTTTTGTATGCAATTTGCCATAATTTTATTGAGAATTTTTGCATCTATGTTCATCAGGGATATTAGTTTGAAGTTTTCTTTCCTTGAAGTGTCTTTCTTTGGTTTTGATATTAGGGTGATACTAACTTCTTAGAATGAGTTTGGAAGGGTTCCCTCTTTTTTTATCATGGAATAATTTGAGAAGAATTAGTGCTAATTCTTCTTTGAAGGTCTAGTAGAATTTGAGAATCTCTCTTCTAGTACTGGATTTTCTTAATTTGTAAGCTTTTGATGGTGTCTTCTATTTCATTGTTTGAAATTGATCTGTTTAAATTGTATGTCCTCCTGATTCAGTTTGGGTAGGTCATATATCTCTAGAAATTTGCTGATGTCTTCAAGATTTTCTGTATACTAGGCATTTTCATTATAATGTGACTTGGTGTGGATCTGTTGTAATTTTGTCCATTTGGGGTCCTATTCGCCTCTTGTATTTGATTTTCCATTTCAGTCTTTAGAGTTGGGAAATTTTCTGATATTATTTCATTGAAAAGAATGTGCATTCCTTTGATTTGTATTTCCATGTCTTCATCTATCCCAATAAATCTTAAATTCGTTCATTTTACATTATCCCATAATTCTTGGAAGTTCTGTTCATGGTTTCTTAACATCTTCTCTCCATGGTTAACTCTATTTTCAAGATTATATATTTTATCTTCAGTGCCTGAGGTTCTGTCTTCCAAATGATTTTAGTCTGTTGGTGATGCTTTCTGTTGAATTTTTAATTCGGTTTATTGTTTTATTCAGTTAGAGGATTTCTACTTGTTTTTTTTTTCTAATTTTTTTTTTCAGAATCTCTGCCTCTATATTGAAGTGATCTTTAGCTTTCTGTATTTTCTTTCTGAGTTCATTCCTTATACTTTACTTTTCAGATCAGTTTAACAACATACATTCTAAACTCATTCTCTTTCATTTCTTCTACTCTGGTATCCATGGAAGACAGCAGCAGGTCATACAAGCAGCTGTGTTGGAGGGGGAGGGATAGAGTCAGGTTTCTGTGACCAGTTGTCCCCTGTGTAAACCTCTGTCCATGTTTGATTTTCTCCTGGTCACTTAAGCACACTCTGTTGTGCATTGTGTGTTTATTGGGCCAGTATTTTGGGCCAAGCTCAGGTTTGCCAGGAATTGGCTCCTTTACCTGCTGGCCCCACACTGTGGCTGCAAAATGGTTCCTTCCTTTGTCCTCCCCACACTGCCCGGAGAGATGGCAGCTGCATTCCCTGCACAGGGATGTCATGCAGCACGCCTTTCAGGTTTGTTAGGCAATATTCTTAGACTTTAAACACTCCATACCCAGGCCTCTGGCCTACCCCAAATTAAGGTTCCTTTAATTCCCTTATCTCTCTACTATTTTCATGGAGGGACCACTCTGGCTGGTGCCTTTGGCCCGGCTGCAGTAGCAGCTGTGCTGCTGGGGACTTTTTCTTTATTTTTAATATATCCAACCTCCTGTGGCTCTGGTATGCTTTAAACGTCCAGTTTTAAATTCCAGTAAAGTCCCCCCCACACACACACACTTCTTGTTTTCGTTCACCCACCTTGTGGAGAAGCTGCCTGTCTGCTTTCTTGGTTTCACGTCACACAGTAGCCAGGAACACAACCGCCTCTATTCTGCCATCTTGAAAAACCCCTCAGACTAAGTGACTTCTAAATGCATGTTAAGTTAGAGAAAGCACCAAGAAAACAGCAGGAGTTCAATAAATGTTAGCTACCATCTTTAACCTTCTTTTGATTCTGCTCTTCCACCAAGTAAACGTGTTTCTTTCACATCTGGAGCATGTATTAAATTTAGATTATGTTTCCCATCTAAGAACAGATCTTCATGATATGCCTTTTATTGTGATGATGCCTGCAACTTGTATCTGTGATCCTCTTAGAGTTTGTAAACTGTGATGCACATCTATTAGCATGACCTGGGTTTCACCTGAGAGATGATTGCTTTCCAGGAATTTGAGCAGGTGCCTTTACATTACTTTTCAGGACCTTTTGTGTGTTGTGTAAGTAGGGTGGGGTGGGGTGGGGTGATGGCACAGGCTGTTTTAGGATCCTCATGTGGTCTATCTGCCTCCTGTCTCTCCCTGTTTTAATTTGTTCTGTACTTTCAATCAGGAGTATTTGTTTCTGTTTTTCATTGTTATGTCCTCAACACCTGAGTGCCTGACCTACAGTACAAATGAATGAAATCATAGTGTCTTCTCAAAATTTCTTACTCTCTTACTTTCCAGGGTCCACCAAAGCACATTGATTTTATTCAATCTCAAATGTCCTCTGTAACTATTGTCACAGATGATTTATCCTCTATATCCATGGCAGATTGGCTCTAGGACCCTAGTGGATACCAAAATCCACAGATACTCAAGTATTTATATAAAATGATGGAGTGCTTGCATATAACCATACATATTCTCCTGTACACACAATTGCATATATTACCATTTATACTGCAAATTCTATGTAGTTATTATATTGTTTAGGAAATAATTACAAGAAAAAGTCTGTACACGCTAAGTACACATATAATTTTTTTAGAGAGAGAATTTTTAATATTTATTTTTTAGTTTTCAGCAGACACAACATCTTTGTTTGTTTGTGGTGCTGAGGATTGAACCCGGGCCGCACGCATGCCAGGCAAGCGCGCTACCGCTTGAGCCACATCCCCAGCCCATACACATATAATTTTTACAAATATTTTCAACCCAAGGTTGATTGAATCCATAGATGTATAATCTATGTATATAGAAGGCCAACTCTACTTCTCCAAATATATACCTTAAGTTTGTGTTAAATTGAATCGTTTGCAATTACTTAGAACCCCCCTTCTTTCTTTTATGTCTGTAGACGTGCTCTCTAGTATGTGCTGTCAAATGTGATGCCCTCATTTCTTTCATCACAAATGCCACCCATCTCCCAGGACTTGCTCAAACTCTCCTCTGAATGCCATCACCATCATTTTATACCTTTCCTCTGTCATTTAACTATTTTTTATGTTCATAAAGTTATTTGTACATGATATGTCTACCTTTAGAACAAGGACTTGGTTTCACCCATGTTTTCAACACAGCACATGCACGTAGCAATTATCTGACAGCAAATATTTAATAAAGAACCTAGTGCCAGATGCTGAGCCCAGTGACAAGCTGGCTTCATGGAAATGCAAATGAGAGTTGCTTCCTGGTTCTCTGAAAATATTTGCTGATTGGATGATTAAATTTTAATTTTACACGTTGAGTATCATGGGTTATAAAATAGAATTGATATCGGGTATGTTGTGTCACAATCCACGTTGTGTGATTCTGGAACAATGACATATGCTTCTAAGAGTCTTGGTTTTCTTGTTTGAAAACAGTAACAATAGACCCACACTGTAGCATTGAGATGTCGTATAGGGGTGGAGGTTGAGGTCTTATAAACAACAGGCTAGTGCTGAAGGATGCATCAAATGTAAGTGTTTCCTTTCTTCCTTATAGAAGTTCTGTTTGAACACAAGCAAAATGAGTTTCTGATGGGTGCCATTAACTTTTTATTGTTGTTGCTCTAGGTCTAGCTCTCTCAATCTTCTTTGAATGGTCTGAGCACCTCTCACAGTGCCTGGCCATGAGGGATGGTCTAGGCACTAGCCTGATGCTGTTGCCTATTCCTCCTTCTCGAAGCTCTGTGGCCAATACCTGCTTGCTCAAGTGGTTATAAATGTCTGCTCTCCTCCTACTCTCGGTAAAAATACTTATAGGGATTCACAGTTTTGCTTTTTAGATCTGTGTTTCTTCTAGGACATCCAGCATTACAATTACTACTATTTGTGGGTGCATTTTCCCTTTTGCAAAATACCTTCACATCCAGTGTTTAATTTGGTACTCTTGGCAAGTCTGTGAGCATCCTAGGGCGGGTACCAGTACTGTCATATGAACTTTTCAGATGAGGAAATAGAGTCTCAGAGTTTAGATGTTCTGCCCAAGATCACAGAGTTAAAAGGTAACAACAACAACAGAAGTCGATCAAATACTTGTCCCCTGGCTACAAATTTGGTGCCCTCTACTCAGCCTGGATGCAAAGGGGTATGTGAAACTGTAGCATTCTTCAAGCTAACAACCTCCTCCATTCTTCTTTGGCAGAGGCGTCCATCCTGAGCTACGACGGCAGCATGTACATGAAGATCATCATGCCCATGGTCATGCACACTGAGGCTGAGGATGTGTCCTTCCGCTTCATGTCCCAGCGAGCCTACGGGCTCCTGGTGGCTACTACCTCCAGGGACTCTGCTGACACGCTGCGCCTGGAGCTCGATGGGGGTCGCGTCAAGCTCATGGTTAACTTAGGTATCGTATGAAGGACCCTCTGCTACTCTGTTTGGGCTTGTCTTCCCTTTCTTTTCTGATTTTCATTGGTTTGATTGAATTCTTTGTTTGTTTCTGAAAGTTAGCTGCTCACCTCTTGTTTAATAGACCAAGGATAAAACCCAACAGCAACAAAAACCTTCTCCTTGTTTCTGCATGAGGTTTTGATGTCAATTTCTGGTTTCTGACAGTGGTGGTTTCTTTAATAGATTATTTGTTTTTCTAAGTTTCCGTTCCTGGTTTTTTGGAATCGTTTAGCTTTGTGTAAAACACGCTACTTTGGTCCATCTTTTGATCAATCATATTCCCATTAAGTCCAATTCCTTGGTCACCCCTCAAAACAGTCAACACCAAGGGCACAGAAGGGGCAGGAGAAGAGGCAACATGTAAGGTTGGGTTTAAGAGGACTAAGGACATCAGCAGGGTGAGAAGCACATCATGTCGGGCTCCTGAAGACTATTGAGACGAAGATTCTGATAGCCCTAGAGATTATGAGGTCTCCTAATTCTTTCTTCTAGAAAGACAAGTCAGATGGTTGTTTTGTCTCATTGAAAATATGTTTCCCAAAGTTGAGAGTCTCTGACATGTGGAAGGAAAATGTGCCCCCTGATAATGAACCTCACCTTCCTTCCCAACACTCTTAACCACTTCTCAGCATCCCTTTAGCAAAAGATTGTGACCTCACATTGTAACCTACAAATTCCACTGTACAAAGAATATCAATTTTACAGTACATTTGAAAATTATGACGACTTCAATTCTCTTGGGATAGGATCTATTCTTTGACTACAGTCACCTATAATGAGTACCATGAAAATTCTTCGATGGCCTCACATTTTCTCCTGGCTATTTACTCTCTTTACTGGATTTTAATGGATCTTTAGTGGAGAATGGGGGCCTTGGGTTTTGGAAGAAACAACCCACCAATCATTTTTTCTGATCTTCCAATTCAGCAGAAAGTCAATGCCCAGTGCTGACAGGGTTAGTGTTATAACTGGGTCCAAACTTTCCAAGCTAATAGATTCATTTGCCTGTGTAGTATAAGTTTGGATACCAAACTCCCTTATAAAGATTTCAGTGGAGCAGCTTGTTAAAGGTCCAGGGACGACATGAGGGACAAATGTACTAGATTTAAGACCATGGCAAGTTCAAGAAGGCCTGGTGGAAGGTGGAACTTTGAATCCGTACCAGTCCTATTCACTGTCAGGTCAACTCATCCTACTTGCAAAATGCCTACACTGTAATTCTAAAATCTCTAGTACACAGAGGACTGTTTTGAGCAGTGGCTTATTTAGTTATGTCTTTTTTGTTGTTTCCTTCTCATTTGCAGCTTTTACATACCTATGCCCTTTCTCTTGCCCAACCTCATTTGATTTCCGTTGTCACTGTGTTTCTTGGTTTTCTTTAGTTTGTGTGTATGTATGTGTTTGGTTATTTTAGGTTTTGTTTTTCTCTTCTGCTGGATCTTTTCATGTGTGTTCTTGAGTTCTCAATCTTCCTGATCATCAGCCATGGTAAATCAAAAGATGGTATTCAACCCTTCAAAGGCCCAAAGCCTGCGGCCCGCATAGCAAACAGCCTTGTGAACAGAGAGTACTGAGCAGCCTACAGGGGCTGGCATACCCCTGTCCCTCCCATCTTCCCTTCCATACACCATCTTCCCACCTTAAATAGACCAGTTTAGGGATATAGTACCTAAAACCAACCACCAGCAACTTTGATCACCTACTACTCTGGAAAACAGCAGAAGGGATAAAACACAAAACAAAACAGACAGAAAAAATTTCCTACATAGCCTATAGAAAAAGAAGATGGAGACAATTTTTATCTCTGCCTCTAGTTCAAAGTCAAAGAGGGATGTGCCCATGAGGATAAATCAGCCCCGTGGGACCCTGGGGGAGTGCACCCCGTGCCGTTAAACAGACAACTTGTTTTTCCTTATTAGATGTTGTTTTGTAAAGATTAGAAAGTCAACTGTGACAAGTCTTAGGAAAAAAAGAGGACAAAGGGAGGGATAAAAGGGGACGTGCACTGAAGGAAGAGATAGAATCTTACACACTCACACACATGCACACGCATACTCAGAATTAGTCATAGACCAATGTGTATTCCTAGAAGCAAATTTTTTTCTATTTTAAACTGTAACCAAAGTCTGGGAGCTGTGCTTTTCTTAAAGAATTTGGCCTTTTGGCTTCTTTTAGTACACCATCCATCTAACTTGTCCAAAGTTAAAATATCTTGGACAAAAGACAGCCCTTCCCTGTAGAGCACTGTGTTCCTCCAAAAGAAGTCATGATTTCCTTTTTCCCTAAAGGGTATGGTTCATCACAACTGCTGTTTGGGGTTTAACTTTATTTCAAACCTTACCCGAGAAAGCTAAATTTTAGGGCTGGGGTTGTGGCTCAGTGGTAGAGCGCTTGCCTAGCATGTGCAAGGCACTGGGTTCAATTCTCAGCACCGCATATAAATACATAAAGGTCAATTGGCAATTAAAAAATATTTTAAAAAAGAAAGCTAAATTTCAATTTTTTGTGCTTGTGAACATGTACCTTCTCATAATCAGGCTTTGACCAAGGGTTTCTCTATTTTGTCTCCTAAGGACACACCTTTATAAGCATTTTCTTTCTTCCTGCTACAAATTTACATTTCCTTTTTTTCGTGATTATAGAAGAAAACATCTCCAAGCAGAGTTTGCATTCACAAGCCATCCCCCAAACTTCAAATGACCACTTTGTTCTCTTATTGCATTTAAGATATCTTGGTTTTATAGCACATGCACAGATATTACTATCGATTTCAAAGTGCTCACCTATATAAGTTCATGGTAGAAAATCCTAGTTCCTTTGATGTAACCTATCGCTACATGCCAATGAGACTAGGATTTTCTAAGGACTTTGTTTTTGAAAACAGCCATTTGTGGTAATAGCAGGTGTGAGGAAGAATATCTTGCATTACATGTTTTTAAAAGTTGTGAGGTTGGCTACTGATTAACCATATTTTTCTCCTTGATTATTAAAAAATACAATAGCAATATTTTATTATTATAATATAGTTGAAAATTTAAACGACCTTGTCTTAATTTAATCTCTTAATAATTTTGTGAGATAAATCACAAAAATGTTTTTACATTGACTTTTACAGATGTGAAACAAGCAAGAAATATATGACTTTTCAAAGCTTATGCCAAAAGTTGGTAGCTGGGACTATAATTCCTGTCTCTAAACTGCTAGATCATTACGGATTATCTGTAAACCCTACAGGTCAATATTGTGGATCGATGATGTGATGTTCTTAATGACTTCAAACTGCTTTCATGATGGTCACCTTTGTAACCTGCTAGAGGGAGATCTCCTTTTCCCTCGATGCTCAATTTAATCGAGCCACACTACAGAAAAAAGAAGCCTGCAGGGGGTACAGCCTTCAGGGTCCTCAGCAGAGAGCCAGAAACACTCTGCCATGGTGGAGGTTCTGGGCATTGTGAGGCAGTTTGGTTAACTGAATTGAAATTCTCCAGATATTCTCCCTCTAGCCTTGCTGACTACTGTTTTATGCATTATTGAAAATATACAACTTTTAGAAACATTCATCTCTTTCACATTCAGCCCAAAGCTCATCAATATGGACAATGATATTTTTCTTCATTTGCTAAAATAAAACAACAACAACAACAACAAACTAAACAAAAAGACATTGCATGTGTACACACACAAAACAAACAAAAAACCAAATGTGTACATAAACGCACACCTCAACTGTCATGCCAAGACTCAGGCAGGATTTTTTTTCAAGAGAGTTAAGTCTGGCTGCTACCAAAGATAGATCTAAAGGAAATGGACATCTTGGGCCCATTCTCCCAGCTCATTTTTTCATTGAAGTATATATCCTCACTACCCCAAACATAGCCTCAAAGCTTGTGAAGAAGAGACCAGGGTAGATTTTTCTCCCCAAACCACTAATTCTTCAGGCTAAGTAACAAAATAATTCTTGTCTTGACTTAAACAAATTGACTGCTGTCTCGGAAAACCCAGGTCCTCTCATGGTTTAGGCACAGTTCACATGTCATGAAACCATTTGGATGACCTAGAGGGATGAGGCTAACCCAGCACTTCTCCCTAGACAATATTCTTAACTGACAATAAAATATGCAGCTGCGCAGAAACCAAAGCAGAAAGCCACTTCTTAGATTTGTGACTTGGGGCCCACTCCTTGGCTCCTCTCTCCTGAGCATGCACAGTCATGGGTTTCTTCTCCCTCTTCAATACTCTAGAGAGGGGCCTTGCTCCAGCTTTGGGTGATGGTAGGTGCAGCTGATAGCTGAAGTCCCACCTGCTCCCCATGCCTGCCCTCCCTCTCCCTGGTCCCCTCAGGGGCATGGCCTCCTCTGTCTGGTGATCGTACCGGTTGCTCCAGGGCTGTTTGCTCCCACTTTTCTGTTGCGGTTGACGACACATGACAAACCTAACCGCACGAAACCAAACCCAGATTTTTCTCAAGAGATGTTCTTCTGGGGAACAGATAAGCTGCCCGCCTCCTCCCTCAGAATGACTGGGTATTATGAATTGTTCCTATCTGGATTTTCACCTGGTTTCCACTCTTCCCTGCTGGAGGCCACTGCTTCCATTTTCACATGCTTGATTAGAACAGGTTCCTTTGTGACATTTAAATGATGGCATTACCCTCCATAACTCCTCTAAAATGTACTGAGTCAACCTTCACCAGCAGGATAGCACAGTTGGCAAAGGTCCTTTTCCCTGTACCATTCTGCCTTTTTTCCTATCATTTAATTTCTACCTTTTAGTGTTTGGCTTCACACAAATTATCATTGAAATTTCCAACAGCATAAACCAAACTTCTGTCCAGTCTGACAGCTGTTACCTGGCAACGAGCTATTTCTCTAGCCATTTCTGCCCAAGCCCCTACCAATACCCACTGACTCTACTCAGGAATTTTTATGGAGTGAGTGTGCCTGTGACTCTTAAGTAGAGATTAATAAAATGATAAACACTCTGATCACTTGGCACGCAATTCCTTTCTGGTTATCAGGACAATTAGATTTTTTCAAAACCCTTTCTTTCCCATTAAAAACAAACAAACAAACAACAACAACAACAACAAAAAAAAAAAAACTAAAGAATTTTCTCTCCTCAAGATGCAGAGAGTGAAATAGGCAGGATGTCAAAGGTGCCCAGGACCTCCTCCACACAAGCCTGCCCTGCCTTCCCCCTGAATGCTGTAGGTCCCTGATTTTGCCTGGGCATTCAGGCCGGAAGACAGAGAAGGGCTTCGTGAGTGGGTTGGTCTGGAAGCCTTTGAATCAGCAGTGATCAGAAAAGCCAAACTGATTATGACAATATCCTACAACTCCTCTTGCCCTGGACCCAATGACCCCACCTCTCTAAAATCTGGGATGGGTGTTTGTGCGGTTAGCTGTTTGCAAGTGGCCATTTTATGACAGGGCATGACCAGGTGGTGTTAACCCTTTCCTTGTCTCTAAGGGTGATGGCAAGTCTGCCTTTACAAATTTCTGTAGCATTCGGGACCTAAGGAGAGGGTGGAGGGCATTTGTTTTTAGATAAAGAGAAAGGGTTAAATACTGCACTGAGAAAATTCAAGGACTGATTTTTTTTAAAAAACGATACAATGTGTCAGACTGATGAGATGTCTCTTTGGAACAGGAATAATCAAAATGGCATTCATGCTACTTCTAAAGTTAAATTTTAAGAATGTAAATTGTAGGGGGAAATAGAATATAATCTGCATTTGGTGGGGGAAATTTTGCCTAATTTTCCAAGTTTAACAAATTAATATTTCAAAGTGCAGGTTTGGAATAATTTCTATAAATGAATAGGCTTTTGGAAAAAAATAAACATGCTTGGTGTCTATTGTGGATATATATGTATACCAGTATATATCTCTATACATATGTGTATATATATATATGTGTGTGTGTGTATATATATATGTATCCAACTTTACTAAATAATATACTGTACATATACACCCACCCTTAAACTTGTACATACTGTGTATATATAAAATGGCCACATTTCTTGCGTGTGTCTGTCCCCGGAAGGGTGGACTGATTGTTTTTGGATGTCTGCAGCTGTTACCTTGAAGGATGCAATTTCATCTTTCATTTATTTTTCCCCATCTAGACTGTATCAGGATAAACTGTAACTCCAGTAAGTTTTCCCTCAAGTTTCATTTTGTTCTTAAAAAAAAAAAATAGAAAAAAAACTGACTTTATTTTGTTTACTATTTTATGAGCTGTTTTTTCTTTGAATTATTTTATTTTTTGACAATGGAGTTGGGGGGAACTGGGATTGACAAGATGGAGGGCTGGGCTGATGGTAAGGGCTGAGTATGACTGGGATGTGGTTTCTGAATCTGGGTAGGTCCTCTCTTCTTTTCTTGCATTTGATCTATATGCAGAAAAAGGAGAAAAGGGCCCATGGATAATGAAATGACTGGGAAATGACTTGAAATGGTAATGTGTTGTCTTTGGGAAATAACCCCCTGGGGTGAACAGAAAGTCTTAGAGCAACTAACATGCACTTCTCCACTACCAAAAACTTCAGGTGATAAAAGCAGAGTTCATGACCCAGAAGTGGCTGCCAACTCTGACATCTCCTTCCTGGCATATGGGGCTACCGGGATTTTCTTAATGTGGGTGGGCAAAACAACTGCCCTTGGTGTGATATTTGAACCAAAGGCTTGAGACATGCTCTACTAATAAGGAGGGATTGCTGACTGCCATCCAGATGTCCTGGTTCTTGAAGAAGGCTCCTGTAAGATATAGTCTGGAAACTATTCATGTCATTTCTTCCTCTGCCCAGAAATGAATGTTAACCAGAGTTGATGAGAAAGGGGAAGAGGAAGATAAACAGGAAAGATGAATGAGGGAAGAACAGGCCTAGACCAGGCAAGGAGAAAAGTAAAGAACATGCTTGAGTGTTAGTGTGTAGCAGTCAGGCTCATTACTGCTAACTGCTGCAACAAGCTGTAACACTCTAACAAATAGATTCCTTCAAAAGTGACTCAGGGATTCAGGATTCTTCCATGAGGTGGGTCCACCACCTTGGAGATTTTTATTCCCTGCTGAATCCATAGGAAAGAGAGAGCCTGGGTAGCTATGCAATGTGAGTAAGTGCTTTGTCCAGAAGTGACATACATCCTTCTGCCCATAATTTTCTCATTTGTTGTAAAGGAAGCTGGGAAATGTAGTCTCATTGTGCATAGGAAGAGAAAAATCATCTTAAGTGGACATATAATGCACAGAATTCTCATTATTAGCTCATCTTTTTGTTGTTGTTCTTTCTTTGCTATGGTCCTTTTGGAGGAACAAAAGTAGAGAGGGAAAAGAAAAGAAAATATTCCAACTCCTATATTTCATTTACCTTGTTGATTCCGTCCTATTCGAGCTTTCACAGGTGCTAGTTCAAAGTTCTTTTTTGGTAGAAGATCTGTTTATCAGAATGACAAACTATGAAAGCCCAATTCTCTTTTATGGGCAAATTTTCCATATAAATTAACAAAAGAAAAAGAAAAAAATTCAAAATCTGTATAAGCAACCTTTCCTAGAGTGCCTTATGCATGAGTTGGCATTACTTGTGGTTATTTTCAGCGTTGTCTTATTTTGCTGTGTTTAAATATTTCTAATTAGCCTGAAATTTCTCATGATAATTAGATCATTAAAAGCATAACTGAAACATACTTTCTCTGCAAAGTCTGAGTTTTCTATTTTTGGAGGATTTTGTTTTGTTTTTTGCAGTTTTGAGGTACAATTTTTATACCACAAAATTCACCCGTCATAAGCCTACCACGTACAGAGTTGTCCAAACATAACCACAATTGTGTTAGAACGTCACCCTCACCCCTCTGATTTTCTCTTGTGCTCATTTTTAGTTAGTCCCTGCTCCTAGCCCTATTCAACTACTGATGTGGTTTATTTTTATAAATTGGCCTTTTGTGGGTAGTTCATGTAAACATAGTCATTAGTGCCTGGCTTCTTTAAAAAAATATATATATTTGTATAACATTTCTATGGAAAGCTTTATCCATTCCTTTTACACTGGGTTTCAGAAGGAAACCAGAGTCAAGCTGAGATGAAGGTGGACAGTCCCAGTGCAGCCTCTCTGGCTTCAGAGAATGACTTGGAGAACAGAGGACCCAGGGGTGATTTGATCAGATGACAGGACTTGTTTTTGCTGTGCCACCCACAGTTCCTTATAGAGTCACCTCCACACTCTCCATGTGATCAGCCATGGAAAGTCATCAAAGATAAGTTTCAGGATTCCCACTCCTGGGGAGACAGGGACACAGATGACAGCAGATTTCCTGAACCTGACACAATATTTTCTAGACAGCGTTGAGAAGAAAATATGCCAGCACAGATATGTTAGCTAAACTTGACCACAGTTCAGACTGTACCCGATTTGAATGCAGGGTAGATAGTCGAGATTAGATGTTGAAAATCACATTTAAAAAAAAAATCTCATGAGAAACATTTAACATGCTAAGAAAGTTAATTCTGTTGAGAGCATCAGAGAAGTGGTATAGTCTCCACTGGTTGGACTGTGGTTGATTAGAGGAAGGGGAAAAAAACAATCTCAGTCCTTCAAACTGATCAAAGACCTTTAGTGCATAAATATATATCAAAATGTATCCAAGGTTATGTGGAGTCATGAAATAGATGTGATACATATTTCCTGAAGTCAATTTTAATTGTTGACTTGGAATAAAACCTTAAATTGAAACCAAACTAATATATTATGCATAAGAATGCAAATAAGCATGAATCTTTAAGGTTAAAAAAAAAAGGAAAATTTCAAAGACATTTCCTTTTAATTGCTTATCTTCTCTATTCCATTGCTGGCATTATTGTCACTTGGGTGGAATATTTTGAGAAGATTAAATTAACAGAGAAAATGGGTAGAAGTGATTAGAACTTCTAAATCCCTCTTCTCATTGACTCTTAGAATTCATAGCTCAGTCTATGTTACAAACTCAGATGTCTCCGTAATAGGGATGCAGGTCTTTGCACTTACCAGATTGTTATCTGTGAGCATAGAGGAAATAAGATGGATTTGCAGCCTGGATTTGAGAGGGAGGGGCTTTCTTCTTACCCCTCAGCCATGTTTCCTGCTGTCATTTCAACAGAAGTCAGAGTGTGTCACTGCTCACATTTTAAAACATAGCTTTACCCCCACCATTTGGAGGGACATACTGAATTAAGCCCAAGTGAAGTCTGAATGTAAGTTTGTAAACTTTTCAGTAACTCTATTTTAGGATACCTGTCCTTTGAAAAATAACTCTGATAAAATAATGAATGACATCAGTTACTTTTTTTCTGTTCATCTACCACGGTGTTGTTCTGGGAAATGGCTGCTTCCAAGGGATTAGGGGACAGTATTTAATGGAGAGAAGAGCATGAGAAAGAAAACTGATCTCCTAAGATAGGGAAAAAACAACTGGCCATAGCACAGGGCAGTTTTGAGGCATATTTATCATTACTCACTCTAAATCTTCCTTTTCTTACTTTCCAAATTCATCATGAATCACACACCATGAATTCCTCCTTTGCTCCTATCATCAAACCTATCAGAGTGTGGGCAAAGCAAGGTCTTTGTTTGAATGGAGGACATTGCTGGCAAGACTGTACTTAAATATATTTAATAAAAAAGGTTTTAGCTTAGAGTTTATCTTAAAAATGCAAAAGACCAAGATTTGGCAGCCATCAGGGTAGACTGAACTCCAGGTTGACCTGGAACTCTGCTAACAAAAACAGGGATGCTTTCTAGAGAATTCCTGGAGGAAATCACCTCTTCCCATGGTTCTAGTCACAGGAGGATGACAGTAACCTCTGAGGCGTGCAGTACTGGAAACAGGTAACACTGTCTGTGTTGATCTCAGGTGTTTGCTGAAATGGAAGCATGGACAATGGTTTGCTTTAACCTTGTCTGATTGTGACTATTCCCAGTCCGTTCATATGTTTCAAGTCATGTATAGTATGAATGAATGAATGAATGAATGAATGTAATAAGCTCATATTAACTCAAAGTGGCTATTGTGTGAATAAATACAGTAAACCTACATTAATGAGTACCAATTTTCCCACTCTTTTGTCAACTCTTCCTTCTCTCAAAGGCTAACTCCTCCATATTATAGACATTTTCTTAATGTCCCTAAAAAGGGAGTGAACGCATATGCTTTATTATTTAGGGATATGTACAAACCCCACCTCTCACACCAGTTCCTTTGACCCTGAAGTCTAACTGATCATTCTGCAACAAGGCTCATTTTTCCTTCTTAGATATGAATGGGAAAAGAAATAGAATGCCATTAAAAATGTACAGACTTTAAGATATTCAGGTGCCATGGTGGAGCTGATTGTGTCAGAGAAGACTTTGGTGATTCCATCTGCTTTGCATAAATTCTGATAGCTTTGCATCATCATAGAGGGACCACCTCAGAGATGTAGGTATGACAAGATTTGATGTCTCCATGTATCTCTGAGGCTGCTGGAGGGGCTTGGGCATTCCTCCTCTTGCGCCTGCTTTCCTCATTCCTGTCTTTCACCCTCTGCCTGTAGGTTTTGGGCAGACTGTCTCCAGTGTTTTGGCAAAGTCAATGGTGTGTGTGTGCCTCTATCTCTATTTAGGCATATCATCATGAGCTCCAATTTATTATACCAGACTTTGGGGTTTCTTCTCTTTCTTTTTCTCTCTCTGACCTCTCCATATTATCAGAACATGTGATTTCATTTTTAGGCTTGCTTTATTTCATTTTTAGGCTCTGATTCTCAGAGCTAAATTCTTGAGTTCATCCCTTTAACTCAGAAATACTTACTGCAAACCAACCTAGAAGCCTAATTTCTTCACTCTTGAGAGTCTTCCTGGAAAGAAATTGTAGACCTCCATTGCTATCCATTCCAAGACTTAGACACCTATCTTTTTAGTTTTAGTGGAGATGGGAAATCACAAAGCAAAATCCTATGATAATAGTGCGTCATCTGTCAGTCAAATTATGAGCATCACTCTTTAAAATTTCCATCTTCACACTGGATGATTATCCTCCAACTTTTCTCAAAGCCTGAGAAAATTAGTAAATATTAATTTCAATTGGTTTTATTTTTAAATAGGTAAAAGTTGTATACAGAACAAAAAACAAAGTAGTAAAATTT